CTAAGGCTTTGTTATAGTCTGTAAGGACGGCATCACACGTGTCATTAAGATCATTTTATGAAGGGTTGACAGTCATGCATGCTATAGTTTAGAGTTTGGATCATGAGTTTTACCTGTTCGACGATGCTTAGAGTTCCATCCTTTGCCATGTAGCAGTAGTTCTTTGCCAGCTTTGTAGACCCATCATCATCCGCAGTTGCAACATGCAAATTTTCCCTTTTCTTTTGACACTGCTGATGGCTTCATCTTCATCTCTGGATGACCAAACTTGATGGACTCTTTTGACATGGGCTACGTATGCCCTTGCCTTTTCCTTATCTTCCAATTCTTGAGCCATTCTAAGGTAGAATGCTCTGTCTTTTACTACATTGGCCTTACAATCTCTTGCAAAATGATTCTCCTTGTTGCACTTGTGGCAAATCACATCATCAGTCTTGTCTTCTGAGGGAGTACTGGAGTCAGTGGTTTGAATAGACTGCGGTGCTTCCATTGTTTGAGTATTTTGAGATTGCGGTTGTGGAAGAGAACTTTTGGGATATCGAGGATGGTTATTCTGTGGATTGAAGTTACGGTTGAATGGAGGTTTGTTGAACTGTTGATTCTTGCGGAAGGAAGGAGGGGGTAGACGGTTGAACTTTTGGCTAACCAGAGCAATAGCCTTCTGAAATTCTTCTTCATCATCATACTCTGAATCAGCTTCGTATGACTGCAGTGGAGTGTCATACGAGGGAGAGTAAGATTGATTGTGTGGAGCTTGTGCTATGAGAGCAAGTGGTCCTCCGAAGTCTGCACAGTCTTTGAGCACGGTGGATTCTTGTGCTTGCAGTTCTCCATAGAGCTTGTAGAGTGACAAGGAATGAATTTTTCTATCGCCTTGGACTATCATCTTAGCCGTAGTCCAATGTCTTCCCAAACCATTAAGAAACTGAAGATTTGTTTCATGGTTACTTCGGATGGTGCCCGCATTGGATAACTTGGTAACTATCAAGTTGAACCTTTTGAAGGAGTCTTCCAAGCTATCGCCAGTATGAGCTTTGAAGTTGTTGAACTCATTGAGTGCGGTTGTAAGCTTCTTGTCTTGTGCTTGTTCTGAGCCTTCGTACAAATTCTTGAGAACTTCCCAGATCTCTTTTGCTGATTTGCAATTTATGATAATATCGAAGTTGTCAGGAGCAACTCCACAAGAGATTTCATAAAAAGCAACATCATCATTTTCCATTTTATCGAGATCATCCTTGGTGGGACGGTTCATGACTGGTTGACCTCCTCCTAGTCTGGTTGTAGCGCCGTCAGTTTGGATTGGTGTAAGAACTGGGACATGTGGTCCTTCTTCTACGGATCGCCATACATCTCTACCAAGTCTCCTTAAGTATCTTTCCATTATCTGGGACCAGTGATGATATTCATTTGCTACCAGTATTGGGGCTCGATTAGAACCACCAACACTGTTGGAAACATTCAGAGATAACGATTGTGCTATATTTTTTGTTGAAAAGTTTTTTTTTAAGAAATGAGCTTCAGTGGTATAGAAGGCCCTTTGAAAATCAGAGTTCCGTTTTTCAAAAAGCAACCACTATGGCTCTGATACCAATTGTTGAGAGAAAAACTTTGAGACACACTTGAACAAACGTTAGAACAAGTATATTGCGGAATAGTTAATCTCGAAGGATCTAAAAGCTCAACAATAATATTAATAAGTTAGAGTTAGATAGTTAGAGAGTTAGTTGCGGAAAGTAAAGAAATGGAAATGACAACAATTGTTTTATCAAGAATACACATAAGTTGATTCATAACGAGGAATGCATTCAAGCCAAGTCAACAAGTGAGATCAAACTTAGTGATTAAGTCACAATAGACTTGCTCCGAAGAGAGATTGTAATCAGTTATGTTCTAGTAAGGTTGAGAGTAAGAAGAGGTGCGTGATAAGATAGAGAGATAGAAAAGATATCTTCAGAGATGTGTATTCATACTGATAGATTGATAATAAGTGAGAATGAACTCTATTTATAGAGACTCAAGAAGTTACATTTGAATCACTCTCTAAGAGTAGTCATGCAAGGCATACTAGACAATAGAGAGTATTACAGAAAGACAAATAAACTAAGTAGAGTAAGAATGGCTGCGGTTGACTAGATGACTTCTGATGCGGTTGCTGAAGAGGGAGCTTGACTGCGGTAGCTTGTAGGCTACGGTAGCTGAAGTTCAAGAGGGTCACTTTTCATGATTCAACAGAGACAACAAGCATATACAGGCATAACAGGAAATTATCACGAAGACAATTATCATCCTACAACCTAATCTAGTGGGCCGACATTGGTGCCTTCGACCCATGAGTATAGGGAAGGGAACTCACCTCACTTTGAAGATAACCAATCACTCTCGGGCTGCCGAATCGTAAAATCCTCTCACTAAATAACAAATCATAAAACCTTAATTAGCAATTAGGTTATTAACCCATCCCGAGAGTCCAAATCCTAAATCCAGACTTCAAGGGTAAAAAGGCGGCTTTACCCTTCCCTTATTAGGCCTAACATATCATGGTCCAATTCCAACTAACCCAAAGTCCAAAAGACACATAAAGCCTAATATGGGCCCAAATCCAAAAAGTCTCGATGCCTAACAATGGCCCAATTCAGAAAGCTTGCGGCCTAACAAAGCCCAAAACCCTAGAGTCCAAAGTGGACCATAATCTAAAGCCCAATAACTCCCTGGTGAGTACGCTAAGCGTACCACCAGTACGCCCGGCGTACTCAAGTGCTACACACGGATCGTGATCACGGGTATGTACGCTTAGTGTATGCCTTCGTACGCCCGACGTACACCCCAGTTGGCCAAAGTCCCATTTTAAGGTCTTAATCTGCTAAGACCTAACGTCTCACTTCAGATCTAGCTCTCTTGGAACGTCCTAAACAATAAAGTTGGCAACTTTACGTTTTTGCATGTCTTAATGGGACTCAAGCCATAGATTTAGCATTATACTTTCCTTAAGTGGTTACTAACTCATGCATGGTTGAAATTTAACTTCCAAGATCCGATTTTTATGACTCCATGCACTCCTAAGTGTTCAAAATATCAGCTCAAATGTTCTGGAGTATTCCATACTCCATAAGATCAAAGTCATGGGACCAAAAGCTGCTAAATCTACCAATAAATGAGATCCTAGCAAGGAATCATCAAGGTAAGAACTTTATATCTCCAAAAGCTTGCAATGAAGAAGATAGCTTTGGATCTTAAAACTCCAACTCCAACAATGCACCACCACCAAGTCTCTTCTTCTTCAAAAGCACAAAAGAACACCAAAACTCTCAAAAAATGCTCAAGAACACACTAAAGATGGCTAAGGTTTCGAGGTGTAGCTCACAAGAGGCATTGGAGGCTGATAAGGTGAAAATTTTGGGACTTCATTTGTTTAAATAGGATGCAAACCCTAAAAATTAGGGTTTTCCCCTGACTAACATACGCCCTGCATACACATGGGTACGCCCAGTGTACCAGGGGGACACCCCGTCTCATGCATGCTTTCGATTACGCCCAACGTATCTTATGTACGCCCAGCGTAGTCAGGTCCAAGTGTCCAAATGAAAAGAAATTAATTAATTAACATTTAACTGACATATCGAGCGTTAACTTTCTAGCGAAATACAACTTGACAGTATTATAAAGTCGTGTGTCATAATCGTCTCATGATTATATCAAGGCCAAGTCCCAAACCTCTTGAATGTGGCTACACTTCACAATCACGTAGGTAATTCCTTTACTTCATGTATATGTATATACAATTTATCAAATGAATTATTAAGAAGTTATACTTCAACCTAGTTAACTTGAAGAACCGGACACATACTTGAGATGTATAGTTCATGTGTTCCAATCGATAAGTGTGAGCTTTCCACATTGAATTCAACTCCTAATTTCATATTAGAGGGAATTGGATGTGTCACCATTTCAGAATTGAATGGACTTTAATCTCATCCCTATACAGACTTGTGCACTAAGTCTAGCTCTTGGTAGACCTTTAGTCAAGTGATCTGCCAAAATTTGTTGCGATTTTACAAACTCTACTGAATCACATTATTGATGATTAGTTCTCTAATCATACTGTGTCTAACACCTACGTGTCTAAACTTTCCATTATAAACCTGACTGTAAGCCTTAGCCAAAGTAGCTGGATTATAAAAAAGGATAGATATAGGTGCTACCGGCTTTGACCACAAAGCAATCTCATAGACTAAATTCCTTAGCCATTCTGCTTCTTTTCCAACAGCAGCTAACCTCCCCCAAGCAAGAACATTCAACCAGTTGTTAAGGAATGGTCATCCATGTTGGTTATCCAACTTGCATCTGCTAGGGGCGCTGCCCTTATGACCCTGCAAAGGGGAGCGACCTCCTTGACCCCCGTCATTTTATCGTACCAGCTTATAATTCGATTTTATATATACATACACTCCGCATTCACCAAACATATAACATAGAGTACAAACAATAAGCTATTAGCTTACATGTCAGTTCCAATTACACAAAATGTCAGGTGACACTAAAATCACCAACAACGTATATAATAATAGAAATAAAAAAATACGGATTTAATATCTAATATTGGAATTAAAAATGAAAAAAAAAGTTAGTCCGATTAATAGAGCTTTAAATGTTAAATATAAGGGAGTCAAGTAATTGAACATATTATTGAACAAAATGGGTTAATTTTACTAAACATTAAACTCAAAAAAACTATTTAGTTAAATAAAAGTGGTTTGTATTATTGACCAAAAAAAAAAGAAATCACTCCGATAGTAAAAAAAAAAATGTTTTTCGTTAATTATTAGTATTTGAATCGTGTCAAAAAAATAAAATAAAATAAACCTTGCTATTATAAAGTACAAGATTTGGTAAATATAATTTTTCATACTATTACTATTTAGTAAAAACCTCTAAAATAAAGATTCTTGTACCCATGGATTAATTTTCTAGGATGTAATTCGTTGGTTTTTTTGATTTGACAGTTACTGAGCTCATTGAAGGAGATTCATCCAGGAAAATCGTAGAATTAATCTACAAAACTAGTTGGTCAAAATGCCACACCAATTCTGGAGGAATAGAAAGGATCTTGAAGGTCCATAACATGCAAAAAACACTATCTGAATTTGAAGAACATCGAGAAACTGTGAAAGTCAGAGCTAGCAAGCTCCAAAAGAAACACCCTCGATGTCTTGCCGATGGCAATGAGTTACTAAGGTTTCACGGAACCCTAGTTGAATGCAATCTTGGCCTCAACGGCTCGTCCAGTCTTTGCCAATCAAATAACTGCAAAGTTTGTCAAATTCTACGACATGGGTTTATAATTAAGAAAAATGGGAACAACAAAAATGTAGTTGGAGGTGTTTTCACAACTTCAACAAGTCAAAGGGCATTTGAAGCTATTGATGTCAACAATGGTTCGTGTTTGAGGAAAGCTCTGATAGTTTGTAGAGTGATTGCTGGGAGAGTTCATAAGCCATTGGAGAACATTCAAGAACTTGCTAATCAATCTGGATTTGATTCATTGGCTGGAAAAGTAGGTATTTATTCAAATATTGAAGAACTTTATTTGCTAAATCCTAGAGCACTTCTCCCTTGCTTTGTAATAATTTGCAAGCCACAAACGTAACTAAATTGTATACAATTAGCATAGTCTTGTTTGTTTTTATCTTTCTTTGAGAAAAATATAGTATTTATTTGTCAAATATTTCTTTTTACTATAAATATAGACATATTTGACGATCAGTTTTTATTACCTTAATATTTAGAGATTTTAGCTGAATATGTTTTAAGTCTACAAAGCATTCGACATGTACATTAATGCAGGGGTCAAAAACAACTTGTATTTAACAGGTTAAGTTGTAAATGAACTAATGTTATATTCCTAAAACAATTTGTTTTATATTATCTTCGACTTTTGGAACAGTAAATTTGATACTTGTAGCACCCTCGATTTGAGGCTAATAGTTTTATTCCTTAAATGTATAACTCATAAATATAAATTCAGTTTTAGATGAAAGCAATTTTGATTAAAATTTCAGATTTTGTTTATTTAAAATAATTAAATAATTTTTTTATTAAATAGTGAAGTAGAAATTAAAGTAAAAAAAAAAAAAAATTAAGATTGGAAGTTGACTTTCCAACCATGAGAATTAAGGTATGACTTTCGACCTAACCAAATTAAATAGGTTTTGGGCTTACATTGGAAAAATATATAATTGAGGGGTTAATCTTCACAAATGTTTAAAGATTGGATCAAAGAGCCCCCCACTCTCCCCGTATCCTACATCTTAACGATTGAAAGAATGGAATTGATAGGGAAACTGATTTTTAAGAGGGAATTTGAAATTGAAGTTTAATTAAAGTTATAGCACTAAATCATGACGGTAAAGTTTGTAACGTACTTAATTCATCTGATTCTTAGTCATTTAAATATCTAACAAGTCTGAATCATTTCATGATTATTTTAAGTGTATTGTTGAATTCTAAGTTTAGAGCCGTTAGTCGCCGTTGATCAGGTGGATTAGAGAACAGAGAGCATTTGTTTGTATGCATTATATATATATATATATATATATATATATATATATATATATATATATATATATATATATATATATATATTGTAGTATGTGGTAATTTAAGAAACTCATTAAGCTTTATGCTTATAATTATGGATTAAATGGTGTTCAGCTACTTTTGTTCTTAAATTGAAGAGTACAGCTTGATTGTACCGCAAGCCCATCACCGTTAATTAGACTTCCGTTGTTTTTATAATGATTCTAATACTTTTATAATATGGTCTGATGATGTCATAACAACTCATTACCATTTTATTAAAAAATATTTTAGAAATTCTGTTCATGTCTTTTTGAAAATGAAAATTATGGTTTAAATTTTGGGACGTTACACCAATCGCATTTATTTGTCTACTTATTGACCAATTTTTTGGATGTTACACCAATCACATTTTTTTGGTTTAAATCTTGTGACATTGATTTTGAATATTGGCTACCAAATGCCTAAAAATATTAGTGTAGTGAGCTAATTAATATAGAAATGTTAGGTGAATAACATATCTAACTTAAAGATTGTACACATGCATGATCACTCGACACACATATCACATAACTAAGTTGTAACGTCCTAAAAATCATAAATAAAAATTTCATTTTTAATTCAACCAAAACACATCAAATATTAATATTAAACCATTCAGATGTATGTGAAAGTAAAAATATTTATCATAGTACAATCCCAAAATCATAAAAGTACGGAAACATGGGTGGATGCGTTGCGATCAAGCTGGGCCCTTCCCCTTCGAACCGGAAGTACCTGAAACATAAACTTAAACTGTAAGCACAAAGCTTAGCGAGTTTTCCCCAAATACCACATACCATACATACAATGGGCTTCGCCCGACATTGGGCCCCACCAAGTACAAATTTGTCTGTAACATGCGATGGTCCCCGCCCAACACCCTCATCAGGCCTCACCTGACATCAAGCCTCGTCCGGTATACGAATAAACACATACGATACATGCAAGAGTCACACAGACGGCTAGCATTCTAATAACAATAATCAATGGGTCGGCATTGGTGCCTTCGACCTGGCGAAACACTATGAGAAGCCTCACCTCAATCAAATGATGAACAGTCGCACACACAGGCTGTTGCTACGATGGCTCCTCATATGAACACATTCAAACTAACCTTAATAAATAATCAGGGTAATAACCCATAGAAAATGGCCCAGATTATCATCTAACATACTAAGGGTAAATGACCATTTTACCCTTTTCTCAATTGACCATCTAATCATTGCCCAAGCCCAAAAAGACCTAGGGCCCAAAATGTTCCAAACCCATAAAGACCCAGGGACCAAATAATGACCCAAAGGTCTTATGGTGAGTATGTTGTGCGTACCACCCAGCTATGCGTCGCGTACAAGCTCTAACAGCAGGGAAAAATAGGGCTGCCTCGCATTACATTAAGCGTACGCCAACTTATGCCCAAGGTACTCCTTGATGACTAAAATTCACATTAAGTACTTAATGCCTTAAGTCCAACATCCAAATCACAGATCTTACATTGGGAAACGTCTTAAATGATAAATTCATCTACTTGATGCCTTTGCATGGCTCCAAGAGGCACAACATCCATTTTTATCATTGTAACTCCATAATATCAACATCAACAATTTCATGGTTGAGTTAAATCCATCAAGAAGCCGTTTTTATGAATAAGGGACCTCAAAAACACCAAGATCTACTATTCTAAGCTTCTGGAGTAACTTATACTCACATTAATCAACACAAGGGACCAAAATATGCCAAAAACCCCTAACTATTCTAGATCTAAATAAAGAATCACCAAGATTGGGGCTTTATACCTTCTGGAAGATGATAAAGGTGAATAGATTATGGATCTACAAGCTTCAAGCCAACAAATGCTTCTCTAAAGGGTTCTTCTTTCTTCAAGATGCACCAAAAACACACCAAGACACACGAAATGCTCAAAACTCTCTAAAAAGGGATTAGGGATTTGTGGGAATTGCTTTGGGACGAAGGAGGCTGATGATAGAAGAGGCCTTGGGGTTATAAAGTGATTAAATAAGGTTCAGACTCTAAGTTTTAGGGTTTTCCCTTAACTCGAGTACGCCCAGTGTACGCTAGGTACGCCCAGCTTACCAGGGGGAAAACCTCGTGCCCAAGATTCGTCAACGTACGCCCAACGTACCTTAATTACGATCAACATAATAGGCCACCATGCAAAATAAATAAACACTTAGAGTTTTAATAAATTTACCTGAAAACCGAGCATTACAAATCTCCTCCACTTGAATCAGACTTCGTCCTCGAAGTACGCCTCTGCAAAGAACTCTGGGTAGTGCTCTCTCATCTCTTCCTTAGGCTCCCATTTCCATTATGAACCCTTCCGGTGCTACCATTGCACCTTCACTAGACCGACAACCTTGTTTCGTAAAGTCTTTGTCTTCTTGTCTAGGATCGCAACCGGCCTCTCTATGCAATTCAGGTGCTCTTCCACCTGAATATTGTAACATCCGGATATCCAGGTATGATAAAATGAGATTATTTTCTAAGTTATGAGGAGTGACTCGACGAGTTGGCGTCCTAACTCGTCGAGTAGGATCGCGACTTGGTGACGTGGAAAATGAATGGACTCGACGAGTCGACAAGCTGACTCGCCGAGTCAGCGCTGTTGGCAGAAACCCTAATTCTTTCGGGCTTGGGCCTATTTAAAGGCACTTATAGCTTCGTTGGCCCTCCCCACCAGTGTCTTCGTCCCTTGAGAGAAACCCTAGAGTTATTGTGAGTTAGAGAGGAAAGAGGCTAATTGGAGGTCATTTCTTTGAAGAAGAAGGTCAAGAGTGTTGCAAGGATCTCAGAGGAGAGTTGGTGGATCAGCTTCATCTTCATTCAAGCTTCAGATCTGGTACAAGCTCTTGTCTCTCTAGTGTTTGAATAGATTTTCTTTGGTTGTTGAGTTAGGGGCTTGTATCACCTTTTGGATGGGGTTTTGGGTACATCCAAACCCTTTTTCTAATTGTTTTGTAGATCTGGACCTTGTGAGGTCCAGAGAACCAGAGAGTAAGTAACTTTGAGTGAGTAACTTTGGAACCATGAAGCTATGAAGCTTCAATGGAGTCATAATGGTGTATAGAGCAAAATACACCATGCATGAGCCCCAAGTTCAGACCTTTACGTGACTTTTGGGTGTTAGAAGGCCAGATCTATAAGTTAGAGAAACAGATCTGACCTCATAAGGTCAAATGAGTATTGCCATGGAGGAAACTCGCCAAGTCCATAAGGGGACTCGACGAGTCGGATCGGGTTGCCCCGCGATTCGTGATCAGTGGTAACCCGTCGAATGAAAGGCTAACTCGACGAGTCGAGTGAGGCCTTATGAGGATTTAGAGGACATGCATGGACTCGCCGAGTCACCCGAGTGCACTCGACGAGTCTGGTCAAGTTGGACCGTTTATTGGAGTTCACTTTTGTTGACTTTTAGGGTTTGGTCAACTATTGGACATGTGGACCATTGGAGGGGTAAAATGGTCTTTTCCCCTTCTATGAGATTATAGGAAGGGATTAGTATAGACTTGAGAATCGTTGTTAATTAGAGGTAAATTACCTTACGTGATTAGGTGGAGGCTAGAGTAGTACTTCGAGTTCGAGACTTACCAAGATTACCCGAGGTGAGTCTTCTCACTATACATTACCTAGAGTGGTAACTATGTGCAGACAGGAGGGTCTTATATGTTATGTGTATGTTTGAGTTTATGTGCATTGTGATATATGTATGTTATGTGTTATATAGACCAGACCGGAGGGTCCTACAATTTAGACCGGACCAGAGGGTCCAACGAGCTAGACCGGACTGGAGGGTCCAACGAGCTACGAGACTGGAGGGTCCCCGCTGAGACACATTGACCAGAGGGTCATACCGAGTTATAGCCTCGAGTGGCTTATGTGTGGTATGTGGCATTTTGGGGAACTCACTAAGCATTTATGCTTACCGTGTTATGTGATATGTGTTTCAGGTACCAGCGAGGATCGCGGGAAGGCGTCGGCATGATTTGTAAATACTGGTAGAGGATTATGTGT